GTACTGTGCCTGATGCGTGCGATACTGTTGTATACGACGGATTGTGGGACACTGCTGTGCGCAAGTGGCTGCTGCGTTTCGCCCACAAAAGATAGTCAATTCACTTTACAGTATATTCTGTGAAGCGTCTCATTTGAAGGACAGCACTGCTGACATTTCAGTGCTTCCCCTCCAGCACTACACTGGACTGTTAGCCTGGACTACGCCATTACAGAGCCATGACGTGGGGCTTGAGCCCACAATCTTCGGACTCAAGCGTGCTGCCTACCAACTGAGCCAGGCTGACATGAGTTTGGAGTTTAAGTGAGGCGTCCTTCAGTGCAGTGACTGTTTATCTGATCCCTTGTTGACTCCAGGCCCAGTGAGTATCTGTCAATGAATGGGAAGTCATCTGTTTTGCTGCTGTGTGCCCAAAGCTTGTTCGGATCAATAGTACAGAGGTGAAGGTCAGTGTAAGAATCTAACAAAATAGGCCCCAATCCTGGGCAGGTCAGTTCACCCCCCCACCCCCCCCACCCCCCCACCCCCAGGCGGTTGAATGTTATTCCACGGCGGGTTCCCTTGGTTCCACGGTCTAACGCTTTTGAAATTCCTGCTTGTTTTTCTCTTCCCGTTCGGTCCACGTGTAAATTCCTGAGATTTAAAAAAGGAGTTTGCATTAATCCAGCGGGAGCCTTTGAAATGACATCATGGCACAGGATGTGTGTGTGTTTACGGGGCAGCTGGTGTACGTGGGGAGGATTGCTCGCTCTACACCCCGATAGGAATAAAGTCACTGTGTGATTCTATACTGATGACGTTAATATTTAGGACCGCTTTTCGTCTCAGATGTTTGTGATTTTTGTATTCATGTCTAAATATATATATGTGTATAATATATATAAATACTCACCTCGCAAGTGAGAGGACCTGAATTCAATTCCCAAGCAGGGTGAAACGTTAGGGGAAGAGAGAGGCACCACGTTTAAGCAAGCGGGTGTCATTTCGTTGGACATACTTTAAACACGCTAATTGTAGTACAGGGAACAACATCGTGAAGCTGCCTGGAATCTCTGACCGAGTCAGATGCTGGTGGTCGGTTGGTTTGGGGTTGGAATCCTGTGCAATGCCTTGTGTATATGATGTACAGAATATGTTAATCCTGTTCGTGGCACCTCGACCTACAACACCTTGGCACCAGGGGCCAGTGCCTGGACTTTTATCTCATTCCATAAGAAGCCTGTTAGCCAGGTTTCATCCACGCTTCAAACATATTGCATTTCTTCGTTAGAATAACCTTTGTACATTAATAATGAGCTTGGGGGAGCAATAGGGAAATCCCTACTCCTCTGGCCTGGGAGGCGCATTGTTTACTGTATCCTGGTTTCCGCACCCGCTGAGGATTGCCACCACTCTCCAGCGTCTCTCCCGTCTCCTGCCCACAAAGCAGGTGGAAGGCAGAGCGGTTTTTGTTTTTAAATGTCAGACCGTGCCAGCCAATGCATGGAGCAAATCACAGGTCTCCCGATGAGAAAGTTGCTGCATTGCCTTGTGAGTGCTCGGTTGTCGCTGGTGCTGGGAAAATCATAAACATTTTTTAAAAAAAACTCTGAAGCCGGGATTTAAAATCTACAGCCTTCTCACTCAAAGTTAAAAGTGCTCCGACTGAGACAAGCTGAACTTCAGTGGGGCTGAACTGTATGATCAGAGACGTTAAGGTCTTATTAGCTCTGGAATGCTTACCGACCCATATTGAAGGAGTAATGGTCAGTAAGCTAACTAAATCCTGATTATAGTTTTGCGTCATTAGAAAGGTTACTGTAGATCTTTACCCACTGTGGAATCCTGTAGCTCAGTGATCAGAGCACTCGCCTCACAAGTGCGAGGACGGGTTTGATTCCCGGGCAGAGCAAAACGTTAGGCAAGTTTCCTTACTCCCCACGCAGGCCTCTGATTACCAGCAGTAAGTAGGAACCCAGTTAGTCGATTGGCGGATTGCTTTTCCTGAGGATAATATTCTCTTCAAAAAAATTAATAATAATAATTTGGTCACTCAATCCATGGACTGTTTGTGGGAAACCTCTGGGTCCCCCCCACAAGATATACAGTCAACTCACTCACTTTACAGTGTATCCTGTGAAGCGCTTTGAGACGTCTCGAAGACATGATGAGGCGCTATATCAAATGCGAGGATATATTCTAGGGTCCGGGTTGCGGCTGGATCCAGAGAATGACACTGTGGGGTGTGTGTGTGTGTGGCAGGTGTGAGCTCCGGTGACAGGCCAACACCTCAGCAAATGAGCCTCATGCCCAGGGCTGCCACCAGTGCCCACAACACTCCCCGCAGGGCAGGGCATGGGGGAGCCACCCCCAGCTGCCTGTCCTCAACAGCTGCACTTTTTTGTATGTTAACTGTCCCTGTACTATTCGTGTCTGGTGGGTTGTTTTGGTCAGCAGGTGTCTTGACCCAATGAGGAAACCACGTCCTGCAGCTTAGTGGTTAGTTCTTTCTTCGCTGTGAACTGCAAACAAAGTCGATCGATAGTAATTTTCTCGCTTTCTCGCTAGAGTTACACCCAGAACGACATATCACGAGAGAGTTACGTTGCAGCACAGAAGCAAGCCGGTCAGCCCCACAAGCCGTTAGTCCATGTGTTTGAACTCCTCACCAGCCTCCACCCTCTCTCTTCTCGGTTACACAACACACAATACTGGGTCACAAGAGGAATTTCACGCCCTATGTTTCAGAACAAGAACAATCTGTAGCTTCCAGCGTTTGGACCCGTGTTGTTTTTTGAGCGCTAATCTGGAAGTTAGACCCAGCATCACTGGGTGGGTGGGCCCTCTATCCGGGGTCAAGGTCCAGTGAGGAGCTGTCGTTTCTTTGTATAGCCTTCACCACAAAAGGCTTCTCAAGCTGAGTGTGTAACAACATCTTAAACGATGCGAGCAGAGAAGTTGTGTTTGTCCAGAGACTCTGCACCAACAATCCCCCCAAATAAAATTGGTTGTTCACTTCATGGCTGTTTCTGGGACGTGGCTAAGTCTAAGTTGGCTGCTGCATTCGCGTACGAAATGCAGGTCATTACGCTCTACAAGTAAATCCTTCGAAGCTCGTTGAGACATTTCTCTGTGCTGCGATAAAGTGCTATATCAAACTCAAGGATTACAACGACAACAACAACGTGCATTTATATAGCGCCCCTCACGCTGTGTAGCGTCCCAGAGTGCGTATTATTAAAAAGAAGCTGCTTGTGAAGAAGTTTGAAGGATAAACTTACCTTCGTGTGTGGGCAAACGGAGGCTTCATTTCTGCAGCGACGCTGCAATAAGATGACATGAATCAAAAAGAAATGGTGGAATCCTCTCTGTTTATCTTTATTCCCAGAGACTCGTTGTCTTTTCCAACCTAATTTCTGCATATTGCAGGGCTGTACAGACAGGCTGGGATCCTCTGTACAGTAAGTTCTGGGCTGTGTCTGTGTGTTTGTTTGACTTTTCTTCATTAATTACAGGCTTCGGTGCTTTCAGTCAGAGGGTGAGCATTCACATCCTGCTAGGAATATTGCTCTCAGCTGAGATCAGCATCCCTTAAAAAAATAATTATTATTTTTGGGGACGCTGCTGTGCGCAATTGTCGCGTTTTGCCCACAAAGTATGTAGTCGATTCACTTTACAGTATATTCTGCGAAGCGCTTTGAGAAGTTTCGAAGTTGTGATAAGGCGCTGTATTAAATGCAAGGATTATTATTATTATCACAGGAAACAAGGGAGAACTCCTACATTGTCATTTGTTTTGCAGGTGTCAGGAATGATGCAGAAGGAGATAGACATACACGCACACACACCACTCCATTGGCAGCGCCTCCTTTCATATTAACAATAACCCTGGCATTTGGGTCCAGCGCCTTTCAAATCGGGAGCACACCTCAAAGAAGCACTTGACAGGATTTTACTGTGAAGTGCATGTGGGCAAACACAGGAGAGCGTATTCAAACACAAAAAAAGTACAGTGGAATACAAAGGATGTAAACAAAGTGCTGAGAATGCACACTCAAGTAGCTGCTCCGTGAATGAGGGGCCTGAGCTGAATTGTAAACGGGAACACGAGGGCAGTGAAGCTTTGCTCAGTGACTGGGGCCTGAGCGAATGTCAGTGTTGAGCGTGAGGGGCTGCGATTACACAGCGTTTTATCGCACTGCAGCACATGGGCAATGTCACAGCCAGCTTAAAGAGGTTTTCACAGATGATGAATGGGTTTGGTCGAGATTTAATTCCAGTGGTCGGTGAGTCTACAACAAGAGGGCATAAACTGAGCAATAGCATGAGCTTCAGCTTAAGGTACATATCTGTACCTCTGAGCGCTGCTTTGGGTTACTGCTCTACCGTGAATCCCAGCCCCCTTAACTCTCACCTCACCTCAAGGAGAATGCTAGAGGTACTGTCATGCGCTGGACTTTGAAAAGGCAGAATGCACTCGTTTCACACAGAGAGTTGTTGGAACATGGAACGCCCTGCCAAGGACTGTGGTAAAAGAAGAGACCACTGTGGGTTTCAGGAGGGAAGGAGAGAAAAGATATGAAAGCTTGAGGCTTGAAGGGGAAAGGGGGGTAATAAGAACTGAATGGACAGCTTGCTCAGAGAGCCGGAGCATCCTGGAGCCGTTCACCCCCAATTGCCTTGCAGAGCGGCGACGAGGAGAAAGGAGAAGGAAAAAGTGGGCGAATGAATAGAAGTGTGCAGAATGCTGCTGTCTTCCTGTCTCAGGGTTTATATTTGTTAGGTCAGGGCATCAAGGGATATGGGGCAAGGGATGCGGGTAATTGGAGTTGACGTACAGATCAGCCATGATCTTATAGAATGTTGGAACGGGCTGGAGGGGCTGAATGGCCTCCCGTTCCTGTGTTTGTATGACTGCCCGTGGCTGTGTAGTGTTTATACTGCGAACAACGAGGCCGGGGCCTTTGTCGTTGACCTGCTCCAATGTTAACGCAGCGTTCCCTCTTTTCCTTCTTTCGCAGAGCGCCAGAGATTATTTTGGGCTTGCCGTTTTGTGAAGCCATCGACATGTGGTCGCTGGGGTGTGTGATTGCTGAGCTGTTTCTTGGCTGGCCCCTGTACCCAGGAGCACTGGAATATGACCAGGTAAGGAGCTATCTTGAACGTGTCTCACAGAACTGCCTCATATGGCAAACGTCACTGATGCCAGGGCTGACATGGCCTGAGGGAGAGCTGTGACCAGGGCGAACAGGGCGGAGTGTTTAAGAAGGACACTGTATTATGTTTTTATTCCAAAAAAAAGTATTATGACTTTGAGTGCGAATTTTATAACTTTTGGTTGATTTTTAAGTGGGAAGCTTTTTCAAAAAGGAACTTTAAATCTCTTGCAAGTTGCAAATCGCCGAAAAAATAGGGTAATCCAAGCGGGGCAAGTGGCAGGAAGCATGCCAGGCAGGGCTCTTTTCTAGGGAGTGTCCAGGCTGGCACTCCAGTGCTGCATTGGCAGAGGTGTCGACCTTTGGATGAGAGCTCAAAAATAGTGGTCCTGTCTGTGTCTGTTCAGGTGGATGTTAAAGATCCCGTGGCACTATTCGAAAAGAGAAGGGAGTCTCTCTCTCCTGATGTCCTGGCCGACGTTCCCCAGATGAGATTGGTCGGTCATTCACTCTGCGGCTGTTTGCGAGACATTGCTGTGCGCAAATTGGGCTGCTGCGTTCACCCTCACAAAAATGCAGTCACCACACCGTACAACAAATCCCGTGAAGCGCTTTGAGATAGCTCAACAACTCAATCAGGCGTTGTGTCACATAGAAGGATTGTATTATTGTTAAATGATCTCAGCTCCCAGCTCAGTCAGTCGTACAGAGAGTGTTAGCCACTCTGACCGAGGAGCTGTCAAATGGGCCATCCAGCTGATTTGATTGCTTCCTGCACTCGTGTGCGTGTGCGTGTGTGTGTGTTAGTGTGGATTCCAGTGTAAACCAGCTTTTTATTTGGGGGTTTTAAACAGAACATTCTGGAAAGCGACGGGCTGTGCTGTGCTGTGCTGTGCTGGCTCAGGGAGATTAGTTGAAGCTCCGTGCTCTGTGGTCAGCCCATTCTGTATGCAAAAGTCTGACATTCAGTTTTTAACTCCATTTGCAAATAGTGGAGGGGGCAACTTCTTTCGAACGCAAAATATACCCTCCTGTGTGAATTCGCTTTGAACTTTCTCAGTGTCTTCCTCACCGAGTTGAAGTCATTGAGAGCTGGAAATAAAATTCTTAATGTTTTTCTCACACCAGTGGGGCTTCAATGATGTAATAATAATCCCTGCATTTGTTCCACTTACATCCCATTTAGAGACTCACACTATTGTGTGTAGTGTGTGGGTGTGGGGTGTGTGTGTGCGTGGGGGGGCGGAGTGTGTGTGGGGTGGGGTGGAGTGTGTGGGGGTGGGGGGTGTGTGTGCGTGGGGGTGGGGGGAGTGTGTGTGTGGGGTGTGGGGGGTGCGGAGTGTGTGTGGGGCGGGTGGAGTGTGTGGGGGTGGGGTGCGTGTGCGTGGGGTGGGGGGTGTGTGTGTGTGTGCGTGTGGGGTGTGGGGGGCGGAGTGTGTGTGTGTGCGTGTGGGGGGTGGGGGGCGGAGTGTGTGTGGGGGTGGGTGTGTGTGGGGGGGAGAGTGTGTGGGGGGGGGTGGGGTGGGGAGTGTGTGGGGCGGGTGGAGTGTGTGGGGGTGGGGTGTGTGTGTGTGCGTGGGGGTGGGGGGAGTGTGTGGGGGTGGGGTGTGTGTGCGTGGGGGTGGGGGGAGTGTGTGTGTGTGTGCGTGTGGGGTGTGGGGGGGCGGAGTGTGTGTGGGGCGGGTGGAGTGGGTGTGTGTGGGGGTGGGGTGTGTGTGCGTGGGGGGGAGAGTGTGTGTGGGGGTGGGGTGTGTGTGTGTGCGTGTGCGTGTGTGTGTGTGTGCGTGTGGTGTGTGTTGCAAGGGCTGAGCCTGCTTAGCTCTTGATCGCCTCCTAGTGGCTGGTTGTAGAACAGCAGTGAACACGGTGGCATCTGAACACACATCTGTCTGTTTCCCCCCAATACCGCGGTAGATGGCTTCAGGCCGCCCATTAAAGTAAACAACGTCTTGTGAAAAGGAAGTCGCAAGAAGGTTCACGGTGGCGTTCTGCACGTAAATGGAGCCGGCGGGGGGGGAAGATAGAGGTTATCAGCAAGGGTGCATGCTTCACACTGAACAGCATTTTTGAAGCGCTTGCTGCTTCTCTATGTATAAACATTACCACTTGTGGGGTGTGGGGCTCAGCGAGGCGAGCTGGTCTGCGGGGAGGCAGGAGTGCCGACAGGGTGAGCTCAACGCGCGGAAAATAAACCTTGACGGATTGTGGTTAATGAGAGTCCACTGGCAGTCCGGCCGGTGACAGTGAAAGCAAAACAGAGGCCTGACTTCATCCGCAGAGTGTGTGAGGCCGGGGGCGGGGGGGACCTATTTATAGCCTTTCTCCTGCTCTTGGCTGCTTCTACTTTGCCAATGGCCTGAGCTCCAGATTCATGGAGCTGTTTATCAGCCATGTTATTTCAATGGTACACAATGTTCCCGAGTTGTTCACACTGGGACGCTGGTTAGCATTACAGCTGCAACCTCGGTGCAGTAAACAAGAGGACATGACACTGGCTTGCAATCGAGCTGCAGGGAAAGCCGTGCACATTCATTGGCATTTATGCCCCATCGTTTCACTTTCACTTTAATTTTGGAAGAAAATAATTGGCTCCCAAATTAAGGCTTAATTCAAGGCTGGTTTCCAAAATTCTGCACCATCTTCAATGTTAAGACTGTGGCCTTTAGACTGACTAAGACTGTCTGTGGTGTCAGCCTGGCTCAGTCGGGATGGGGGCAGAGAGGCTGAAGGCCTGACCCACTGATGGCGGGGCGGGCATGGAGCGTGGAGCAGGCCAGAGCCTGCTGAGCGGAGGGATACACCATACACCACATACACATAGGGTGAGAGTGAAGCTTTTGACTGCATAGCCTCAGATGTTTGGCCTTCTCCATCCCCCACCACCCACTTCCCAGCAGATCCAAGGAAGAGACCGGTTAATATCTGGCTGTTTCTTTTTTGTTTTCAACAGATACGTTATATTTCACAAACACAAGGGTTGCCGGGTGATCACCTGTTGAACGTGGGGACAAAGACGTCGCGGTTCTTCTCTCGCGAGATGGACACAGCGTATTCAGGGTGGAGGATGAAGGTAACTAGCAGTTGACCAGTTGAGAGTCAGAACAGAGAGCCTTGGTAGACGGCAGAGCTGGAGCTAAAAGCCAGGACAGTTTAGAGGCCCTCAGCGGCCTCGCTCCTTCCTCCCTCTCTGACTTGCTAACTCCCATATCGACCTGTCCGCTCCCTCCGCTCAGCGGGCTACGGCTGGCCTGCTCCCGGGGTGGAAGAGGGAAGCTGTGAGTCGGTGCGCTCCTGCTCTGGTGTGTGCGACGATCCGGATTTGAACTCGTCTTCTTTTTAATTGTTTGGCCGCAGACACCGGATGAGCACGAGGCAGAGACAGGAATGAAGTCGAAGGAAGCCAGAAAGTATATCTTCGGTACTTTGGATGATATAGCGCATGTAAGTCCTAGCGGCAGAGAAGCCTCCGTACTCTCCGGGCGCGGTTGGTGGGTTCCCCAGGCCACACGTACAGACAGATTACAATTCAAAGGGTTCTCGAAAGTGGGAAGATATTCCTTGAAATGGAGAGCTGTTACCTCCCTCCACACAGCAGATAACCGGGTCAAATGCCCAGCGTCATCTATCTGTCAGACTCGCCAGCAATCCTCCAGATAAGCTGCTCCCTCCCTCCCTGTCTCCCTCTGTCCCTCCCTCCTTCATGGCTGTTTGCGGGACTTTGCTGTGAGCAATTCACTGTACAGTATGTTCCGTGAATAATAATAATCCTTGCATTTGATATAGTGTATTATAACACCTTCGAGGCATCTCAAAGCGCTTCCGGTCTGCTCCACGTCCCCCGCCCCAACCGCCCTACTATCGGTGGTCGGGCCTTCAGCCTCTCAGCCCCGAGGCTCTGGAACTCCATCCCCCAGTGCCTTCGCCTTGCTTCCTCCCTTTCCTCCTTCAAGGCCGGTCTCAAAACCTTTCTCTTTGACCGTGCCTTCAGCTCCCCTCTCGACTCTCTTCCCCCTCCTCGCTCCCTCCCTTCCTCCCCTCACCCTGACCATTTCCCCCTCCTCTCTCCCTCCCTTCCCTCCCCTCACCCTGACCATTTCCCCCCTGCTCGGGTCATGACCCAACTGTGCAGCGCCTTGGGACGTCCTCCTGACGTGAAAGGCGCTCTATAAATGGAATCTTGTTGTTGTTGTTGTTGTTCACAGAATAGACTGTAAAGTGAGTTGATTGCTGTATATTTGTGGGCGAAACGCGGCAGCCAATTGCGCACAGCAGCGTCCCCGCAAACAGTCGTGGATTGAGTGACCAAATTATTGCAATAATTGAAGCGCTTTGAGACATCTCGAAGGAGTGATAAAGCGCTGTATCAAATAAAAGGATTATTGTTATGTGAGTTACTGCTCCGGGACACTATCCTTTGTGAAAGATGCTATATAAATGCAAGATATTGTTGCTGTCCGGTTGGGGGGTTTGGGTAGGATTGGGGGGATCAGTGAGTGTCCTGCCTGTCCTGCTGTGTGTTTATGGGGTGGCTAAACATTGCAGTGTCTTGTCTCAGGTGAACATGGTGATGGATTTGGAGGGAGGTGACTTGCTGGCGGAGAAGGCCGACCGCAGGGAGTTTGTCAGCCTGTTAAAGAAGATGTTGCTGATTGACGCTGAGAAAAGGATCACTCCGGCCGAGACGATGAACCATCCCTTTGTAACGATGCAGCACCAGCTCGACTTTCCTCATAGCAACCAGTACGTAATAATGCTCGGAGCTCCACCGTTCGCTCGCGCACAGGCCGAAAAAGACACAGCAGCGCAGTGAAGACTGGGTGGTGGTGGGGGGGGGGAAGTGTCTCTAACCTCGGAGTCCCAACCCCTCCACTGTGTAGTGCTCAGAGAGGCCAGCCTGCGGGGAAGGGCGCTGTGTAAATGCACGTTGCTGTTCCATTCGCAACAGGACCTTCCGTTGCACAAAGGTAGAGGCCGAGAGAGGCTGGGAGCAGGTCCTCTCTGTAACGCGTCGATCTCCTACTCACCCCCACCACCCGCACCCCCATCACCCACATCCCACTGCAGCGATGGTGGGGGAAGTCCCTGTTGGTTCAGTCGTATCGTTTGTTTCCGCAGCGTCAAGTCTTGTTTCCACATAATGGACGTGTGCCGGTGGAGGCCAAACATGTTCGATGTAATAAACCGCAATAAGGTGCCATTCATGAGACCGGGCAACGCAACAAACCTGACTGTGGCGTTTAATAAGATGGGCTCCGTACACAGCCAGGTGAGCAGCGGGACACGCTCCGGCCGGCGCTGGATCAAATACAGGGATTATTACTGTCCCGTGATGGGGGAACTTCATGTGTTCTGAAGTAGTCAAGACCCTGGGTTTTACTCAATCCAACAAGTGGTGTAATCCCCATATTGTGCTGCCGATCATTTCTCAAGCGCTCTGTGTATGTGTGTGTGTATGTGCGCGTGTTGATGTGTGTATGTGTGTGTGTGGGTGTGTAGGTGTGTGTAGGGGTGTATGTGGGTGTGTGTATGTGGGTGTGTGTATGTGGGTGTGTGTGCGTGTGTGGGTGTGTGTATGTGGGTGTGTGTATGTGGGTGTGTGTGTGTCGGTGTGTGTATGTGCGTGTGTGGGGATGTGTGTGTCGGTGTGTGTATGTGGGTGTGTGTGGGTGTGTGTATGTGCGTGTGTGGGTGTGTGCGTGCGTGTGTGGGGGTGTGCGTGCATGTGTGGGGGTGTGTGCATGTGTGGGTGTGTGTGTGTGGGTGTGTGGGTGTGTGTGTGTCGGTGTGTGTATGTGCATGTGTGGGGGTGTGTGCATGTGTGGGTGTGTGCGTGCGTGTGTGGGTGTGGGTGTGTGTATGTGGGTGTGTGGGTGTGTGTGTGCGTGTGTGGGTGTGTGTATGTGGGTGTGTGTGTGGGTGTGTGTGTGTCGGTGTGTGTATGTGTGTATGTGGGTGTGCGTGTGTGGGTGTGTGTATGTGTGTGTGTGGGTGTGTAGTTGTGTATGTGGATATGGGTGTGTGTATGTGCGTGTGTGGGTGTGTGCGTGCGTGTGTGGGGGTGTGCGTGTGTGCCGTGACCCGCACACAGGAAGGTGTGGTGACCTGCGAATGCGGGTGATCGCAATCTCTTTGCAAGTAACGTTGTGCTGATGAGACGGCGCTGGAGGGAAGTCGGCACGTGGGGAATTGTTACCAGGGAAGCCTCGGAACGTTGCTCAAGAGTGCCACCCTGTGGTCCGTGGGTTGTTTGCGCGCTGTCTTTGAGCAGTTGCAGAGCTCATAAGGACATCGGAATTTACCGGAGAAAGAAAATCCCGAGTCCACCTGAGTTCCCCCTTCCACCATCCCATCCCGGCCGTCGCTTGATGTGTCGTGTCCCAAACTCTACTCTGTATCCATCCCCAGATATTCGGGAATCTTGTTCTTGAAACAAGTGGCATCTTCGGCTTCCGCCATCTTGTGTCCGTCCCTCGGGAGCTGGTCCCGGATCAGGCTCCCGGTGGGTTCACTCGGCAAATCAACCGGATGAGTTGAGGCGTCCGGTTAGATTCCCGACTGCCGACACGCTGGCAGTTTTAAGGGATTAAGCACCGGCTTGGAATGGTCGCTGTTTGTCTTGTGCCTTCACTGGCAATTCAGTGAAGAACTAACATTTTGAGTGCAAAAGCTCGGCACGGTATTTGCACGGTATTTGCACGGTAAAGGCAGTGTTTTATAAGCCGGGTGTTTTATGAGCGGGGGAAGAGATGTGGCGAGGTTTGAGATTGTAACCTTGATTTCTGTGGCTCTTTCCTTCAGCATTTAGCGACGACTGGACCCTCTGTGATGCACCCGGGGATCCCCCTGCAGCCGGGGACCACTCCTTTCGGCTGTAACGACTCCTTTCAGCAGACCCTCATCCTGTGCCCGCCCACACTTCAAGGTAGAGCAGAGAATGAAATCGCCGATGCTCCTCTGTTGAGTTCAATCCACTTCACGTCATCTGGACCGAGTGTTTTTATATGTGCCTCTAATGTGACTCTACGCGCCTCTCTAATGGCTTTGATATGAGGTCTCATCGAGAGTTTACCGCCTTTTTTACTGGGCAGCCGCAGCCTGGCTTTCTTTGCTGGGCTTTGTTGACTTACCTGGAGTTAGGTGTCAGTCAGCCTGGATCAGTTGGTAGCACTCTCATCCCTCAATCAGATGTTTGTGAGTTCGAGTCCCACATCAGTACTTTGAGATGGTGCAGCACTGGGGGAGTGCAGTGTTGTCGCTGTTCCTTCGGGCGAGACATTAAACCAAGGTCCTGTCTATCTACCTATTCAGGTGGACGTTAAAGATCTCCTGGCCAAAAATTGACTGCATGTCTGTTTGTTGGACATCGCTGTGCGCACATTGGCCAATTCAACACTAAAAAAAATGTTTTGAGACTTTTCAACGACCCGATGAAACACGATATCAAATGCAGGGACTTTCTAGTGTTAGTCTGTAGCGAGTGGATCGCAGTGACTCTTTCCTAAAATCTTTCTCGCCGGCAGGAATCCCAGCCAACCCAGGGAAAGCCGCGGGCTACTCGGTGCGAATGGACAATGCGGTGCCTCTAGTCACACAGCCTCTCCAGCTGCACCCTGGCATTTTAACACAGGTCTGTACTTCAGAACACACGCCAATGAAGTTCCCTGGCTTTCAAACTGGATCTGGGGTTTCTGCGGTAGGTGGGGAGGGGTGAGGTGGGGGGAAGGTTGGGGGGGGAGAGGGTTGGGGGTGGGGGAGGAGAGGCGTTGTAGAGTAAATTCCAAACATTCTGGGGTGGGACCTCGGACTGGGTTTGGACGTGCCCGAGGGTTTCTATGAGACACTGTACACCTCAGCTGTCGGGCTCGGGCACTGGAGTGCAACGAGATCCAAAGACGCTCGAGCACAAACGAGGATACATTTCACCTCCGGGAAGGCAGAGAAAGGCACCCGTTGTCTGTCCAGTGCGGATTGACTGACCGTGAGTTGGGTGAAGTGGAATACTCTGGGAACTTGCACTCAAATGGTACCTTATTCACCTCTGCTCCAACACTGAAACGAGTTGTGGCCGTGACAGTTCCCGGCTTCCGTTGGCAAACGCGCGGCCTTCCTGGGTAGTGGTTGTTGCTCAAGTCTATCTCAAAGTGACCCCGAGGGGCCTTGGGAAAACGTGCACTTTTAACAGGTGTGACCAACCGTGTTTACCTCTGCTTACAGGCCTGGTCCGGCCGGAGCCAGCAGATCCTGGTGCCCGCCTGGCAACAGATGACGGCCGTGGCCCCTTCCACGACAGGCCTGGCCTCCGACACTGTGGCTGGTCCACAGAGACTTGGAGACTGGGGGTAGGTGGTGTGTTACAGGGAGGGGCGGGCGGGCGGGCCGGCGGGCGGGCGAGGAGCTTTGATTGTTATGTTGATGTGGTTACCTCTCTTGGACGTGGCAAAGCCCTGTGCCAGCCCGGGGCAGTGAGTGCTTCACCCCGGAGTGACATCCAAAGCGTAAGTGGCTGAAGGCCGAGGGTGGAGCGGAGGATTCGGGGGACACGTGGATTCGGGGGCCGCCTCGGAGGGTTTCATGGCCCTCCGAGCGCGGAGTGGGGCTGCCTGGGCCCAATGGCCTCCTGTCCCCGTGATGCCTGACTTACTCCAGTCTCTAATTCCCCGCAGACCGGTGCGTCCTCCGGGCAGCCATTACAGCTCCGTCATGTCACAGCATCTTTTGACCAACCAGATGACGCTGTCAGCGACTCAGCCGATCAGCGTAGGGATCGCTCACGTGGTCTGGTCACAGCCCTCCCCGGCCAACAAGAGGAATAAACACTGTCAGAACAGGTCAGTCACCCCCCCCCCACCCCACCCCAACCACAACCCCCCAACCCCACCGCAACCCCCCACCCCACCCCAACCCCCAACCCCACCCCCACCCTAACCCACCCAACCCAAACCCAACCCCCCACCCCAACCCCACCCCAACCCCCACCTCAACCCCCATAAACACCGTCACACCAGGTCAGTGACCTCCCTCCCTCTCACAGCTTTCTATGCCCCACAGGAGCAATATGATCTATCACACCAATCTCCAGAACGCGGTGCCCTCATCCCCAAAGAGCTCAGACAGACAGAAGTGCGGGGAGCCAGAGAGCTGCTTGGGCACAGAGAGCCACCTGGCCAGCGACCTCGCCAGCGACCTCACCAGCGAGGGCATCGTCAGTGCCTGCTGCGAGGATATTGTGAACGCTTGTTGCGAGGAGTCTGCGGGGCAGGACCTCGACACCGAATCCGTCGCCCACAAACAGCGACAGACCATCATCATCGCCGACTCCCCGAGCCCGGCCGTCAGCGTCATCACCATCAGCAGCGACACCGACGAGGACGAGACGTCACAGATCCATTCATTGGGAGAGTGAGTGCTTTACTGTCCTGCACTGGGTTGTGGGGGGTGGAGAGTGGGTCTGCCCGTCTGCACCGAGCCACCGCGACCCAGTGATCCTGCCCTTTGTGCTTACTATTGGTCGCCCAGATAGCTTGAGTTCACGCTGAAACCCTTTATCTTGATGAAGACCGTAGCTCAGTGGTTAGAGGGCTCGCCTCGCAAGCGAGAGACCTGGGTTGGGCTCCCGGGGCAGGACAAAATGTTGGGCAAGTTTCCTTACTCCACACACACGCCTCTGTTTACCAGCAGTCAGTAGGAACCCGGTTACAACTACGCTTTACAATGTATTCTGTGAAGCACTTTGACATATCTTGAAGACATGATGAGGCGCTGTATCAAAGGCAAGGATTATTATTGTTATTATTATTATTGAGAGTCCCCCTAGGATTTTTGCCGGAGGGCTTTATTTGATCTTTCTCTGCTCCGTTCTCTCAGGTGTAAAGGTAGTCCTGACTGTGAAGCCTGTCAGAACACTCTGAACATCGACCGGGTGTGCTCCCTCAGCAGCCCTGACAGCACTCTGAGCACCAGCTCATCCAACTCCACTCAGTCCAGCCCCTCTCCGTGCAAGAGGCCGAACAGGTAACTGACTGAGCTCTTGAGGTCCAGGTCACTCGGGGAGAAATCTCCCCCTGACCCGGATTTATTTACATGCATCGCATTTCGTCAGAATGTCAGCAATTTGGCAAATGGTTGAAATCAGTCTTAACTACTAGACATCTGAGACGTGTCGAGGACTTGATGAGGCGCTATATCAAATGCAAGGATTATTATTATTATTGTTATTGATATTCCCGCTGATGACGTTGTTGTAAACATTGGTTGGTAGCATTATGTACTGCGGCCTCTCCTCTGACACTGCCCTTTCCCGATCCTGATCTGAACTCTACAGGTTCACAGTCGTTCATTGACTGAAGAGCACAGATGTCTCCGTTAATAGTCGCTGGGTCTGTCATTTAATTAAGAGTTGGCTCTATTTTTGCTGCAAATATTTCATGGAGATCTTTTGCGCTTTTATGCTTTAATGGTCTGCACTCCAGCGCGTGCCACTATGATAGCTAATAACCAGCTAATAACTAGCAAATAACTAGCAAATAACCAGCTAATAATACAATAACTAAACATCTCAAAGCACTGCACAGGATTAAGACGTTAAGGCTGATTTCAATTATGTAATAAATGACACTATTAAAGGTTAGCATTGGTTCACATGTCGCTGAATCGTTTGCAAATGTGTGAAGATCAATCAGTGTCCCTTGGTGTCTGTGCCCCAGCATGTCAGACGACGAACAGGAAAGTGGTTGCGACACAGTAGACGGGTCACCGGCCAGCGAGTCCTCGGAGCAGGCAGAGAGCCCGTTCCTGGAAGAGCGGTTTCTTCAGGACGCCAACGAGAACACGGAGGCCAGGAACGTCAAGGGAACGGAGAGCATCAAACCTGCTGTGCTCACCATGGTGGTGCCGCCCATGAGAGTGCAGAACAATAACTCCATCTCCGAGACAGATTTCAGTGAACAGGTCGCTAACACAGGTACAGCTGGACAATAACATAGACCCTGTAATGGTGGGGAGGGGGGGTGGGGAGGTAGGGAAAGCTGTGCACTGATCACTGATCCACACCTGTGTGGGAGTCCTGTAGCTCACTGGTTAGAGCACGTGAGAGGACCTGGGTTAGTGCTTCCAATATCTATTTGCATTCCCCACCCTTCACACCCATGTTCTCTATCGTATGCGATAATAATAATAATATAATATATCATAATAACGTTATTATTATTGTTATTGTTGTTATAATAATATAATATATAATAATAACCTGAAAGGAAAAGCGCTATATCAAATGCAAGGATTATTATTATTATTATTGTTGTTGTTGATAAAATTAATTCTCTGCTCCCGCCCTTCCCCGCCCGCCCAGACACCATGTGTCAATCGTTATCGAAGGGCCGATCTTTTTCCGGGAGAATGAACCAGCCGATGCCTGGAGGTGGTCGACAGCAGAAGTCTGTATCAGCATTCCAGCAGCAGCACATCAATTTCGGTCAGGTGGGTCGGCCATTTTGCTTCTCGCGTATCCGTGCTGCATTGCACCGCGGGAAGCGAAGCGATGTCACTTCCTGCGGGGCCCGATCGAAAGTGGGTGCGTACTTCCTGTTCCCAGATATGAGCAATTGAATGTTTTAAAACGTTACGAAGGGAGACGGCGCCGTGAACCAGGAGTTGTGGGAGTGCGGTAATTCTTTTGGAGAATAAGGGAGTGTTTTTTTTCTCTCTCTGGTCTGCGCTCGGAGTGGCTTGGATTTCCTCGGAGCCATTATGTACCCGGCGGCATGAATTAACGATGGATCCCGACCCTATCTCTCGGCAGGTTCAGCACTACGGATCTATGCCTCAGGAATGGAACGGGAATTACGGACCCAGAAGACAGCAAGCCTACATCCCACCCACCATCGCCAGCCACCCTTTCCCTCTCCCCCACGGGAGCCCCAACCACACTACAGCTCACGGCCACCTGGGGAGCCAGCCGGCTATTCTCTCGTACCCCCCGTCAGGACACCTGGGGACCACAGGTCCTGTGGCCCACTTACTGGCCTCTCCATGTACTTCAAGGCCTGTCATGCAGCCCACAGCGTACAGTATTTCTCATCACAGCGGTATCGTGCATCAAGTCCCCGTCGGGCTCAATCCCCGGCTGCTCCCATCTCCGACCATCCATCAGAACCAATACAAACCAATGTTTCATCCTCACTCCTACATCACAGCCTCTCCGGTCTACACTGGATTCCCGTTAAGTCCAACAAAGCTCAGCCAATACCCCTATATTTGAAAATTACCGAACAAACTGTACTAAGGCTCAAGTGATGTTAAAAAAAAAGCATCTGGAATTTGAAGGAACACGTAACCAATTAAAATATAATTCCAAGCCATGGCACAAGAAATCGATTTTTTTTTTTTCCGTTCTCTTTAATTTTGTTAAATCATGTACACGAGACGACTGACCGACCGACTGATGCATTGAAAAAAAACGAAACAAGAGCTGAGCTTTTTTTTTTACCAAAAAAAAAGGCGAAACCCAGTTTGAATGTGTGTTTTTTTGCACATTTCTATCAAGTACAGTTGTTGCATCAGGTCAAAGAATCTTTACGGTAGCCCTGAATAAATAAATAAATAAGTAAATAAATAAATAGAGCAGGAGAGATAACGGGAGGAATGGAAGCTCTCTCTATTTTTGTATTGCCTTGTATCCTGTGCGAGACACACATACACCTGTGAAGCCATTACTTACAAAAGCATTGAGGGCAACAGATGCTCATTCTGTCTGGAGTATAAGTGTATGAGCAAATTATACTTGTGGTTCCCTGTGTCTTTCTTTTTTTGGGGGTGTATTTTCTGTGTCGCGTCATTAATCTAAAAGGTCAATCTCTACATTGCATGCGTTTTGCATGAAGGGAAAATTTGCCTAGAATTTGGGTTTTGGCTCCAGTGTCGTTACTTACAGAAAAAATGTGTTGAGAAATGAATGAACATGAAATCCGCTGCATTGTAAAATTGTTCCCACACAATAGTGCCTTAAATATTTGAGGTTGTTAATGTTTCGACGATGTTTATGGACTGTAGCACTTGAATTCTTATCTGGTGATTGAGAATTAGGGGTAATACGCTTGTGTTTTGGTGTGGTATGCTTTTTTTTTCTCGAAGAGTAGATGCTTTCTTATTTGGAGGATATAGCATGTTTGCTGTGGCTACGTCCGCTGTTCTGGTTTTAGATTGGAACCTCTCCCTCCCTCCCCTCCCCTCCCCTCTGTCTCCCTCCGCTACCCTCCTCCTTACCCCCACCCGCCCTCCCCCACAACCAAAAACAAACACAAATAGGTAAAGTAATGACTGAAACCTTGATCACTAGTTTCTACTCGAAGATAAACTCAGAACGAGCAGTAAACTATACTGTCCAATTGATCTGCAATCCAACTTGTTTTTTAACTGAGGACGTTTATTGCTGTTTTATCGGATGTAATGAAATGATTAGAAAACACAATATGTGATGGGCATGGCTTCGATTAGAAAATAAGAAAATTGATACTCAACGACTCATGGATAGTTTCACCTTCGCTTGAGCAAACCGTTCAGTATTTGATATACGTAGTGATATAATACTTAGTACTGAGACTTGACAACGGTGCAGGTTCTTGTATGCAATTTTATCATTTATGCATGTGACAACAAATTACCCTTTTTACTTTATATCCTTTTGTTTTTAGCTTCGTGCCTGTGTGTGCGAACGCGCCAGCGTGCGTGCGCGTGTGTGTGTGTGTGTGTCGACTGCTTATTTTACACATTCCGTTGGGGGGTGGGTGGGGGGGGGGGAGAGGGGGAATCACACGCTTATGTGCATTTTTCTAGTATGTGTTAGAATCTGATTTTTTTTTCAGATGAAGTTGCTTTTCTGCAACACCAAAGACTTTTGTCATCCGTTTCCTAAGCAAAAGGAGGGAGGGAGGGTTAAGCTACTCTGCATAGACCTCAAAAAGTGTGGCCCCAACTATCAATAACGTGGAGGGGAGGGGGGGGGGGGGGAAATAAAAATTCAAAGATTTTTTTTTAAAAAAAAAACTTAACACACACACAAAAAAAATGGTTGAGGCACTAATGTTTTAGCTCTTGGGTGAGTAATAAATTGTATCATTTATCTTGAATGTATCATAGATGAGAGCTGCTATATAATGATTGCCACTTCAAATAGCTGTGAAATAAGTGATTATTATTATTATTATTATTATTATTAATGACTGTTCTTACTTAGCCTTCTCATTTCTGTACGTCTGATTACATTAAAATAGAAGTGGGTTTGGATTAATTTTGGCTTTAATGTTTGGAGTGTCTGTAACTACTGTATTGTAAATGATGAAATGTTAGTCATGTTTGTGTTTTTTCTTTGGGGGTGTGTGTGCGTGTGTGTGTGCGTGCGTGTGCGTGTTTTTGCATCAGTATTTTAACCTTAAGTAAACCTTGAGCTCATCACTGCATATAAATGGATGTATCAATGTAACTTAATTTTTATGTTTCTCATATTGGCATTGTGTAGATGATTTGAGATGCTGTAGCTTGCAGAATCGACTTAACTTTTACGCTTATAACGGTGGTGCAAATAAGAGGGTCATAAGACATTTGCACTTGTGTCGTAGGGTCATACTGCAAAGCATCAAAGCACCCGCACAAGTGCACACACTCGCGGACTCTCACACACACACAACGTTCACGCACTCAAACACACCCACACGCGCACACACTCACGCACTCACACACACACACACACACACACACTCACGCACTCACACACTCACGTACTCACACATACACTCACACATGAAAAGGATCCGTTTCATTTTTTTTAACATTCACACGTATTTTCCGGGCATCTTGAAACCTATGAATAAAAAAGATTTTGCTGAACGCCCCTTGAAAACACACAGCACCAGTTCGAACTGTCCATAAGCTAAATTTCAGATCGTGCTCCTTTTCCCAGGAAAGAGCGAGCGGGTGTTGTATTTTAACAAATCTTTGATCACAACCTCGGGTGGATCAATGCGTTCGAAAATAATAATAAAACCAAGGCTTGTTTTTAAACGATAGATCGGTTGTACAGTTAATCACATTTGTAACTACAGTATCTCAAGAAATGTGGTGCTTTTCCAGCATAGATCTGTTTTTATCAACCAACAAAGATCTATTTTATCAACCATATATGTTTGTATAAAAACAACTCTAACTATCGAGTACTTATTATGCCTGAAATGTAATATTTGCTCTTCAGCCTCGGCCCCTGCAGGGCAAGAAATAATCAGCTGACTTGTACCGGTTATTGCTTTATATTTCCCCGTTTTATTCACTCTCACTTGGCCTTTTGCTTTTAATCTCTTTTTAGCAGTTTATGAAATAAAACACTGTGAGACGCGGGAAATCGATAGATTATGAAAGCGCCTGCCTGGCGAGTTTGGGTTTTTTTTTAGAAAAAAAAGATTTGGGAGTTTCTTTTACGTACCAATCGGTTTTTAATCAATTTTTTTCTCTCTCTGCATTCTTGTGGCACGTTTACCAGTTTCATTCAGGGTCATCAGAGTGCAGATTATCTACTGTTTTTATTTCATCCCTCCCCTCATCGCCATCCTCCCCTCCCTCTCCCTCTCCTCGGTATGTCTTAACGGCTATTTTTTTTTTGGTCTGGATTGGTTTGAACTGATTATTTCTGCAATTCCTGCTAAAAGTTTGCCTCGCTGCTATCAGTGAAAGTTAAATCACACTGCAAGTTATGGAAATCTATTTGTTTAGATGACACACACAGAAAAAAAAGTAGACTTGATTAATAAGTTGGAACTGTTACTGTTAACATTTGTAGATTTTTTTTGTGGCTTTTTTGGCTTTTGATTTGATGCTACTCTAGTTTACCATTGTAGCAATTGCACTGTGCAATACTTACAACACGAGGACTGGGAAAATTTTTTTATGGATGTATTGTTCTCCTCCAGTTTGCGATAGTATTTCTCTCTGGTTCTCAGTGATTTAAATGTGACCAAAGCCTTCTGTACTTTGTCACAAAAAGCGGGTTTTCCAGGTGACTATTTTGGTGAGTGTCAAAAATAAGAGTTTATGGTGTATTATTGTCGAGATTCACTTTGAATTAAAATATATATTGCTGCAGCAATCGAGTGGTGCTGATTTATTTTCAGGATGACCTTTGGTAGAGCTGACATCCTGAAGGACAGTTATCGTGGCTCGTCTCGTGGATGAGTTTGGAGATTTTAGCTTTATGGGGGGTGGGGGGTGGGATTTCAAACCGGTCCTCGTCAGACTCCACCGGCTCCCAATTACCGAATAAATTGATTTCAAGGTCCTGTCGATCGTTTTAAAATCCCTTCATGCCCCGGCACCTCCGTCCCTACCTCTCCGACCTGCTTACCCCCCCACACTCCCCACCCGCTGCCTCCTGTTTGTCCCTCGTACCCTCCGCTGCACCATCAGTGACCGTGCCTTCAGCCGCTACCCCCCGAAACTCTGGAACACTCCCTTGATCCCTCCGCCTGGCCCCCTCCCTCCCCACTTTCAAATCCCGCCTGAAGACCTTCCTTGATCGTACTTACATCAAAATTACATTTGTAAAGCGGCTTTCACGTGAGGACGTCCCAATAATAACAATGAATTGGTCACTTCAATCCGCGGCTGTGTGTGGGGACGCTGCTGTGCAATTGGCTGCCGCGTTTCACCCACAAAATACAGTCAATTCACTTTACAGTATATTCTGTGAAGCGCTTTGAGACGTCTCGACGATGTGATGAGGAGTTGTATCAAATGCAATTTGAGACGTCTCAAAGCGCTTCACAGAATATACTGTAAAGTGAATTGACTGTGTATTTTGTGGGCGAAACGCGGCAGCCAATTGCGCACAGCAGCGTCCCCGCACACAGCCGCGGATTGAGTGACCAATTATTATTTTTTAAAATGTATTTACTGGTTTGAAGGCGGTCGGTGGATTTTGGAAAAGTGGTCCGCCAATCGACTGACGAATGGGTTCCGACTGACTGCGCGTCAAACAGAGCCGTGCGGAGTGGAGTAAGGAAACTTGCCCAAGGTTTCGCCCCACCCCGGGAACCAAACACGGGCCCTCTCGCTTTGCGCGGCGAGTGCTCTAACCACTGAGCTACAGGACTCCAATCACAACCTCAATTAATTCAAAGGCAATTTTAATTTCAATTGTCTTTGAATTAACTGAGGAGGTGGTTGTTGTGTGTGTGTGTGTGTGTGTGCGCGCGTTGTGCGTAAAAGCAACAATGACTTTTGTTCTGGGGAAAAAAATATAAAAATGCTAAATAAATATAAATATATATATATATATATCCAGGCAGAGCCATTGGGATCCTTTATTGGGTGCAGTTCAGAGGGGGGACTGGGGAGGGAATGCCTGTGGAGCAGTTGCAGACTGTCCAGGAGAGGTCGTGTGATGGAAACCGTTTGGTTCCTCTGTGGTTTAGTATCTGAAAATCAGTGGTTTTCTCTCCTCCCAAAGAAAGTGACGTCTATCGCTGCAATAACAGCAACAGAGACACACACACACCCCCTACACACACCCCTACACACACACACACCCTACACACACACACACCCCCTACACACACACCCCCTACACACAGCCCCCTCTACACACACCCCCACCCACACACACACCCCCACCCACACACACACACCCTACACACACACCCCACACACACACCCCTACACACCCCCTACACACACACACACCCTACACACACACACACCCCCCTACACACACACCCCCTACACACACACACACCCTACACACACACCCCCTACACACAGCCCCCTCTACACACACACCCCCTACACACACACACACACCCCTACACACACACACACACCCCCTACACACAGCCCCCTCTACACACACACCCCCTACACACACACACCCTACACACACACCCTACACACAGCCCCCTCTACACACACCCCCACCCACACACACACCCCCACCACACACACACACCCTACACACACACCCTACACACACACCCGACACCCACACACACCCCCTACACACCCCCTACACACACACACACCCTACACACACACACACCCCCTACACACACACCCCCTACACACACACACACCCTACACACACACCCCCACCCACACACACACCCCCACCCACACACACACACCCTACACACACACCCTACACACACACCCCACCCACACACACCCCCTACACACCCCCTACACACACACACCCTACACACACACACACCCCCCTACACACACACCCCTACACACACACACACCCTACACACACACCCCCACCCACACACACCCCCGCCACACACACACACCCTACACACACACCCTACACACACACCCCCACCCACACACACCCCCTACACACCCCCCTACACACACACACACCCTACACACACACACACCCCCTACACACAGCCCCTACACACACACACCCTACACACACCCCCCCCACCCACACCCCATACACAACCCCCACCTACACACACCTCCACCTACACCCACACACACCCCCCACCCCCCCCTACACCCCCACCCCCACACACACCCCACCCCCCCCTACACCCCCACCCCCACACACACCCCCACCCCCCCTACACCCCCACCCCACACACACCCCCACCCCCCCCCTACACCCCACCCCCACACACACCCCCACCCCCCCCTACACCCCACCCCCACACACAGCCCCACAGCCGCACCTTATCACAGTGACGGTAACCTGAGGAGGAACAGAAGCAGAACGCGGACACGAGAGAGAAGTGCTCTTATTTTGGTGAACGAATGAATGACTATGAATGGGGACGGATGAGCTGCGAACCCCCGCGGTGACCCCTCCCCCCTCTCCATCTCCCCCCCATCCTCTGCTCCCTCTCCCCCCCTCTCTCTGCTCCCCCCCCTCTCCCCCCCCTCTCTCCCCCCCCCCCCTCACCCCCCCTCTCCCCCCCCCCCCTCACCCCCCCCTCCCCCCCCCGGCATTCCCGCACTGACTGACTGACTGAGTGCAGGAGATGATGAGGAGGAGAGGACCAGAGTCGGATCGCACTGTAACTCCCCATCGCCATCACCGCCATCACCGCGAGTGATGGACCCGGAGCTCCGGACACAAGGCGGTGTGAGGCTGTGACCGGCAATACCCCCAACACCCCACACCCCCCCCCCCCACACACACCCTCCACAACCCCCCCCCCACACCCCTCCACAACCCCCCCACAACCCCCCCACACCCCCCCCTCCATAACCCCCCCTCCACAACCCCCCGGCAATACCCCCCAACCCCCCCCACACCCCCCCCGGCAATACCCCCAACACCCACACCCCCCCCCCACACCCCTCCACAACCCCCCCCCACCCCCACACCCCCACAACCCCCCACCACAACCCCCCCCCGGCAACCCCCCAACCCCCCTCCATAACCCCCCCCCCCACACCCCCCCCGGCAATACCCCCCCAACCCCCCACAACCCCCCACACCCCCCCTCCATAACCCCCCCCCCCCCACAACCCCCCCCCGGCAATACCCCCAACACCCCCCACACCCCCCCCCCACACCCCTCACAACCCCCACCCCCCCCCACACCCCCCCTCCATAATCCCCCCCCACAAACCCCCCCACAACCCCCCCCCCGGCAATACCCCCCACACCCCAACCCCCCAACCCCCCCCCACACCCCCCCTCCACAACCCCCCCCACACCCCCCCTCCACAACCCCCCCCACAACCCCCCCCCACAACCCCCCCCCCGGCAATACCCCCACACCCCTCCACAACCCCCCCCTCCAACCCCCCACACCCCCCCCTCCAACCCCCCACAACCCCCCCTCACAACCCCCCCCCACACCCCCCCCTCCATAACCCCCCCCACAACCCCCCCGGCAATACCCCCCACACCCCCCCCCCACAACCCCCCCCCCCCGGCAATACCCCCCCCGATGGCTGTGGAAGGCACCGACACCCCCACACCGGCAGTTCTGCTCCCGGTCTCCCGTTGGCACTGAGGCGATGGGCGGAGGCGGAGGAGGAGAGGAGCGGCTGCAACGTCGGACTCGGATCCCAGTGCCTCTCCCCCCGACACAGCCCCACTCGCGTGTTAGCCCCGCGATGGTCATTCGCTATCTGCTCCGCACCGGAGTCTGTCTGCTCCTGTTACAGACTGTGTCTGCAACACACGGTAAGGCCACGTCAGTCACAGCCCAGACAGCACAGCCCAGACAGCACAGACCAGACCAGACAGCACAGCACAGACAGCACAGACAGCACAGCACAGCCCAGACAGCACAGACCAGACCAGACAGCACAGCACAGACAGCACAGCCCAGACAGCACAGCACAGCACAGCACAGACAGCACAGACCAGACAGCACAGCACAGACAGCACAGACAGCACAGACAGCACAGCACAGACAGCACAGCACAGACAGCACAGCACAGACAGACCAGCCCAGACAGCACAGCACAGACAGCACAGACCAGACCAGACAGCACAGACAGCACAGACAGCACAGACAGCACAGCACAGACAGCACAGCACAGACAGCACAGCACAGACAGACCAGCCCAGACAGCACAGCACAGCACAGACAGCACAGACCAGACAGCACAGACCAGACAGCACAGCACAGACAGACCAGCCCAGACAGCACAGCACAGACAGCACAGACCAGACCAGACAGCACAGACAGCACAGCACAGCCCAGACAGCACAGCACAGACAGACCAGCCCAGACAGCACAGCACAGCACAGACAGCACAGACCAGACAGCACAGACCAGACAGCACAGCACAGACAGACCAGCCCAGACAGCACAGCACAGACCAGACCAGACAGCACAGACAGCCCAGACAGCACAGACCAGACAGCACAGCACAGACAGGACAGCACAGCACAGACAGCACAGCACAGCACAGACAGCACAGCACAGCACAGACAGCACAGACCAGACAGCACAGCACAGACAGGACAGCACAGCACAGACAGCACAGCACAGCACAGACAGCACAGCACAGACAGCACAGACCAGACAGCACAGCACAGACAGCACAGACCAGACAGCACAGCACAGACAGCACAGACCAGACAGCACAGCACAGACCAGACAGCACAGCACAGACAGCACAGACCAGACAGCACAGCACAGACAGCACAGCACAGCACAGACCAGACAGCACAGGCAGCACAGACCAGACAGCACAGACCAGACAGCACAGCACAGCACAGACAGCACAGACCAGCACAGCCCAGACAGCACAGCACAGACCAGACAGCACAGCCCAGACAGCACAGCACAGACAGCACAGACAGCACAGCACAGACAGCACAGCACAGACAGGACAGCACAGCCCAGACAGCACAGCACAGCCCAGACAGCACAGCACCGACACTGCCCCCAGTGAGAGAGAGTGAGAGCACTGACCAGGAGCAATATTTTATGTATATGTATGTGTGTATATGGGTGTATATGTATGTGTGTGTATGGGTGTATATGTGTATGGGTGTATATGTATGTGTGTATCTGGGTGTGTATGGGTGTGTATATGGGTGTGTATGGGTGTGTATATGTATGTGTGTGTATGGGAGTGTGTATGGGTGTGTATATGGGTGTGTAGGTGTGTATATGGGTGTGTATATGGGTGTGTATATGGTGTGTGTATGGGTGTGTATATGGGTGTGTATATGGGTGTGTATATGGGTGTGTGTATGGGTGTGTATATGGGTGTGTGGGTGTGTATATGGGTGTGTAGGTGTGTATATGTATGTGTGTATATGGGTGTATATGTATGGGTGTGTGTATGGGTGTGTGTATGGGTGTGTAGGTGTGTATATGGGTGTGTAGGTGTGTATATGGGTGTGTGTATGGGTGTGTAGGTGTGTATATGGGTGTGTAGGTGTGTATATGGGTGTGTGTATGGGTGTGTAGGTGTGTATATGGGTGTGTCCGTGTGTATATGGGTGTGTATATGGGTGTGTCGGTGTGTATATGGGTGTGTATATGGGTGTGTAGGTGTGTATATGGGTGTGTATATGGGTGTGTATATGTATGTGTGTATATGGGTGTATATGTATGGGTGTGTAGGTGTGTATATGGGTGTGTATATGGGTGTGTAGGTGTGTATATGGGTGTGTATATGGGTGTGTAGGTGTGTATATGGGTGTATATGGGTGTGTATATGTATGTGTGTATATGGGTGTATATGTATGGGTGTGTAGGTGTGTATATGGGTGTGTATGTGTGTATATGGGTGTATATGTATGGGTGTGTAGGTGTGTATATGGGTGTGTATATGGGTGTGTAGGTGTGTATACGGGTGTGTATATGGGTGTGTAGGTGTGTATATGGGTGTGTAGGTGTGTATATGGGTGTGTATATGGGTGTGTAGGTGTGTATATGGGTGTGTATATGGTTGTGTAGGTGTGTATATGGGTGTGTATATGGATGTGTATATGGGTGTGTAGGTGTGTATATGGGTGTGTATATGGGTGTGTAGGTGTGTATATGGGTGTATATGGGTGTGTATATGTATGTTTGTATATGGGTGTATATGTATGGGTGTGTAGGTGTGTATATGGGTGTGTATATGGGTGTGTAGGTGTGTATATGGGTGTGTATATGGGTGTGTAGGTGTGTATATGGGTGTGTATATGGGTGTATAGGTGTGTATATGGGTGTGTATATGGGTGTGTAGGTGTGTATATGGGTGTGTATATGGGTGTGTATATGGGTGTGTAGGTGTGTATATGGGTGTGTATATGGGTGTGTATATGGGTGTATAGGTGTGTATATGGGTGTATATGTATGGGTGTGTAGGTGTGTATATGGGTGTGTATATGGGTGTGTATATGGGTGTGTATATGGGTGTGTAGGTGTGTGTATGGGTGTGTATATGGGTGTGTAGGTGTGTATATGGGTGTGTATATGGGTGTGTATATGGGTGTGTAGGTGTGTATATGGGTGTGTATATGGGTGTGTATATGGGTGTGTAGGTGTGTATATGGGTGTGTATATGGGTGTGTATATGGGTGTGTAGGTGTGTATATGGGTGTGTATATGGGTGTGTATATGGGTGGTAGGTGTGTATATGGGTGTGTATATGTGTGTAGGTGTGTGTATGGGTGTGTATATGGGTGTGTAGGTGTGTATATGGGTGTGTAGGTGTGTGTATGGGTGTGTATATGGGTGTGTAGGTGTGTATATGGGTGTGTAGGTGTGTATATGGGTGTGTATATGGGTGTGTAGGTGTGTATATGGGTGTGTAGGTGTGTGTATGGGTGTGTATATGGGTGTGTAGGTGTGTATATGGGTGTGTAGGTGTGTGTATGGGTGTGTATATGGGTGTGTAGGTGTGTATATGGGTGTGTGTATATCGGTGCCTACAGTGAACACTGAAAAGGGAAGGGAAAACCAAGAGGAATACAGTGTTGATTCTCACAGTGACGACAGGTGTTACATCGCGTGGTGTGAAATTAACACTAAGATTGTTTCACTCCCTCTCTCCTTCAACCCCTAATCCAGAGGGTGAACTGAAATCTGTCAAACACAGGGAGAGTGTGATGTCAGATTTCACCTCTTTGTTTTGATCTATATATATATATATACATATGTGTGTGTGTGTCTGTGCTCTACAAATCTACACTGGATGGTAAGGCTCCCTGGAAGGTGTTTAACTGTTTCCATTCCCTTTTTTTGAGTTGATTTGATTACCAGGTGTGGGGCTGTGAGCTGCTGAGGGAGGGAGGGAGGGAGGGAGGGAGGAAGCTGGTTGTGAATTAAGATTTAGCAGCTGATGAGCAGAGAGAACACGGAACATTAATACAGCACAAACCATACCATCGCCCAACTGACCACCACTTGGGCTTCACTGAAAGCCTCATAATAATCCTAATGCATTTGGTACAGCGCCTGATCAGGTCTTCGAGACGTCTCAAAGCGCTTTGCAGGTTACACTGTAAAATGAATTGACTGTGTGTTGTGGGTGAAACGGGACCAAAAATGGAACTGTTCCCCACCCCCCACTCTCCTCTTAAACCTGTCCTGGTATCTGTCACCCATACTGGGATTAACTGGAATGAATATACACAGACTATCACTGAGAGCATCACTATTGGGGGCAGGTCACGGCTGATTTGCTGCGCTATTTTACCCGCTATCTATCGCCTTGGAATGTAGCCAATGTGTGTGTGTGTGCGCGTGTGCATTTTCTCTCTCTCTCTAATTGCTCCCTGTCACCATCAATTCAATATTAATGGAGACAATCTTTCGCACGTCTTGGTCTCGGCTCAAACCACCTTTGTTCTCTCATTAAAGGGATGCGGAAGTAAATCGAGGGAGACAAGGGGAGGGGGTGGGTGGGTTGCGGGTCACAATTAAAGGAACAAATGTGATTTGACTAAAAATTTGTAAGAAAAACTATATGTTTGGCTTTTATATATATATATCTACACACACGTACGACTGTGGAATACTGCTGTATGCTGTTGGCTGCCGCGTTTCACCCACCAAATGTACAGTCAATTCACTTTACAGTGTAATCTGTAAATTGCTTTGTGACGTCTCGAAGAATTGATGAGGCGCTGTGTCAAATGCAAGGATTATTATTATTATTTTCAAATCTTATCCAATGACCTTTTTTTGACCAGAAATGTTCCGCGTGTAAGAGGTTGTCGATTACGGCTGAAAGATGAAGGTCAATATTGTGCAGCACAAATCATCAATATAACGCATTGAAAACAAATTGCGTGTATGATACAGTTAGAAAACGTAACTCGTGCCATTGTACAATAAATATTTCTATTCTGTCCGGAGGCAGTGATGTTCTGGAGTCCTGTAGCTCAGTGGTTAGAGCATTTGCCTGGCAAGCGAGTGGACTTGGCTTTGATTCCTGGGCAGGGCGTAACATTGGGCAAGTTTCCTTACTCCACACACACACACACAAGCGTGCGACTCTGTTTACCAGCAATAAATAGGAACCCGGTTGTTAGTCGATTGCCAGATCGCTTTTCCGAGGGTAATAATCTCTTCCAAAAAAAATCAGAGCACTTAACCATCTAATTAAGGATGAATTACTTTTCCTTATCTGGTGAGCCATGAAAACAAGTGATTCGGCAGCTCCTGAGGGTTAACAGTGTTTATCTCTCGGTTGCGGATCCTTTACTGGTTCCTCGTCGAACTCCAC